AGCAGGAATCTAACTTCTAGTAATCAAATAAAACTAAGGAAACTGCCTTTCCGTAGCTAAATGCCTAATGTCTAGGGGCTACTTTTCTGTCTGGAAAATTGACACAAAATGTGTAAAATTGAAACATTCTGCTTCTAAGGGATTTGCCTAAAGGAAGAGCTCGAAAGCTCCAAACGTGTTCTAAACTGAAGAACTACAAAGGCTTACCACATAAACTTGTCTTCCTTATTACAGCATTTCATTTGGAAACGTAGGTGACAATTTTACAGTCATAAAATTAATGAAATGTAAGACTAAGCATTTTAATGATGTATTCTGTGTTCCTCTGCATACATAAGGGTTTCAAGATTTTTAACAGAACAAATTTCAGTCAAATGATTTGCACTTTGTACTAAAACCATTCAGGTAATTCAAAAACAATTTAATGTAAAAAAATAGGAAGTATTACTCCTGCTGCAAACATTAGTGATATTTAGAAACAACATTCAGAAGAATTAAGTCTTCTTGTATTATTCAAGAGTGAACACTGATGTTTCTACTGTGCCACTTCAAATCTCAACTGGCAAAATTATTGTTTAAATTAAAACATAAAAAGTAAAATGAGAAGATCTAGTATAGTAAAACAGCACACCAAGGTACACTATATTGTGGTACCCCTCATTCTTATGGGGCTGCAATAGCTGAACGGTTTGTGGAGATGGAGGATGTGACACAGCAGGATTCACACAAGAGCTTCTCCAAGCAGCTGTGCAGTTTAAAGAAAACAAAACAAAAAGAAACAAACAAACACACAAAAAACCCTCACAAAACTTGCAAAGGAATCGCACAAAACTTCTGGAGAATAATTCAAGATTTATTTTCTCATCTTGCTATGGTTTTGCACTTGCTGACACTTTGAATTTGGCAACTGCAATAAAGCTCTGTGTGATCATTTTAGACAATTCTGTATCACAACTAAGTTCTTCAAACAAAAATCCCTGGGATAGCTACCTTGGGGGATTTTTATTTCACTGTATAAACAGAGGATTTGAACAAACCACCTGATTTGGGAGAAAATTCTGTTTACACAATTCATAAACCTGTGTATATAAAATGTTAAAAAAAACACATAAAACTTAGAGGAATTTTCTATGTACAAGTGTATTTTCTATTTCAAACAATCCAGTTTGAAGCAAGATCACATGGCTGCAAATTCAGAGATCATTTGCTTTAATTAGTATTTCAGATTAAGAATGTATGTTAGAGACATGTCCCATAAAGTACAAGACTTGACTCTTAGAAGCAGCTTTAGGTTGTTGGTATAAAACCTGAGGACCACCAGTCCTTTCTTCAGTTTTCAGTTAAGAAGCCTGTTGGGCAGTTCCAATCCAAGCTCTTTAGCTGCCCTAGTATAAGTTACCCCATGCCTGGTACCATCCAAAAAAGACATTCAAAAGAAACGTTCACTCCGCAGCCCACACAAATTTCTGAAGTATTTCCTTCTCATCACTTTGACTGGCTTGTTCCTGCACGCCTTTTCAGAGCTTCTTACTTAGATTTTACTTATTTATGACCATTTCACTTAATTTTTCTGTATTTCATTGTCTATAGTTGCCTTCATTAAAGCCCCAGCCAGCAGTCTTAATACATTCCTCTTGTTTGAGGCAATACACATGCATGTACATAAGTGGACTCACAGTCAGACACAGGACTTATGTACATCTACACTTGTGTGTTCACATAAAAGTCTGTGACTATTGTGTATATATCATAAAGGCAATGTTTTGATTATGGTTCAGTGAAACATACCTTGCCATTTCTATTTTCCTAGTCATTTCTACCACCTAGCAGACTGTTGACTAATCTTCAGCTGATTTCTGTCTGTGGGGAAATGTTAAAAGAAATACTCAGGCTTACACCAGCCCAGAATTTGCATCCATTGCTTTGCATCACCCATATAGTATTTAACTGTGTGTACTTGAGTGTGCATAACTGATTAAACAGTTGTTATCACAGCATTAGAAGTCAGGCAGCCAACCTTAGGAGTACAAATAAAATATTTTGTTTCTAGCTTGATGAGGGAAGAAAAGGTTAACTCAGAGAAAGAGCTCAAAAGCACACACGTTCATTCTCTCTCTAGGCCTTAATGAGATACATCAACAAAAGTTACCACAGAGAAGAGGATTAAGTATTATACACTCCAAAATCCCAAGAATTAAATATTTCTGAAGTATCATCAAAGAAGTATTTTCAGGATCACAGAAAGTGAATTCATTTCCAGAATACAAGATTTTACTTTTGGCCTTTTCATTATATGACAGTAAATATTATTTTTTGCAATTTTTACAGCAAATACTTTTAAATTACTTGCCAAAAACATAAACATACTGGTTCTCTCTCCAAGATGCCCCACTGCTGCCAGTGGGCTTAGCTCTTTGAAAGTACATGGCTCCTCTTTCACCTTTTGTTTGGGGATTCTCATTTTGAAGGCAATTATATACTTCAGTCTTGTTCTTCTCATGTGCTGCTGAACTGGATGTTTCCATTGCTTCTGTGGGAATTGCAGGCTGCTAGGCTCTTAACTGAAGTGGCCAACTTGCCTTTTAGTTAAAGCACTCTGCCTTTTAATTAATTTCATTAAAAGGTCTTAGGACAGCTAAACAATTGTGGGTTTCTTTCACTACCATAACAATTATCTTATGGTATAAGAAAGAAAATCAGAGAAAGACACGAAGTATTTCACTGGGGTCAGTTTCTCCACTATCAAGATATCTTCTGCAACAAAGCAGCATGTTCTTTATTGAAAATTACCTGACTGTGGCGTTTCTTATATTAGATATAGGCTGCCCAAAGAATACAGAAGAGACAACCAAAAATCTTATTTCCAAGGAGAGGAATACAGACTAGTGCGCTTTATTATTAAATTGACTGGATACTTGTCAAAGATCTCATTAGGAAGTAAAAATAACCACATACTATTCAAATCCTCTAAAGCAGCTGTGAATTGTTCTCTGATTTTAAGCAGAGATTTCATGTTATTTAAATAGAACTATTAAGCCTCACACAAGAGTATCATCATATGGGTCTTCGGACCACTTTTCATGTGAAATCACTGCTAACGCTGTTATAGAAAAATTACATCCTGGTAGAGAAGTATAACACATTATCAGAAGACTTGCAGAAGGAAATTTTTTCTTCTACTTTTCTTATATTCACTCTTTGACTCAATTTTTCTTACTCTGACTTACCTTAGAATACAGAGGCAGACCTTGCCTCCTGACGTCAAACGGCAAAATCCAAACCTTTGCTTACTTTCAATGTCGGTGAGCACGAAGGTAAAATGCTGTCCTACTTGGTTTTGGGAGACCCTGAAAAATTAGATACAGAGCATAAAACCACTAATCATATAAAACATGAGCATTTGTCATTGGTCTCCAGTAACTTCATGCTTAAGCTTCACTATTCCTCCCTCCATTCCCATCCCATGGGCTGTGTCCTGCGCCCCACTCCCTCCTCTTGGGACAGCAGAGCTTGGGTCCTTCCTTCAGCCGTGCCACTCCAGCTGATGTGCTCCATGAGATCTGGGACATTTCATAAGATCTCTTGCTTTGTAATGCCTAAGCAGAGCCAGTACAACCCTGCCACAGCTCGTTGGCTTTCAGCACACCTCAACCATGGAAAACAGTAACCAAAACAAAAGGTTTAAAATTATAAAAATAATTTATTAAGTGTCACAATACAGGCCTGGATTAAGACAGCCTTTAGAAAACCAGCTTGCTTGGGTTTTTTTCCCTTCAGAATAGCTCATTCGTTAGACGTATAGGCTTCCTATGCACCCACACACATCTTCCTCCTTTTTTTGCATTACACATTGCCCAACACAATTTTTTCCTAAGTTCATTTTCCAAAGCAAACTTGGTTAGTTCTGGAAATGTAAAAGCCAGAAAATAAAGAACAAACAGCACAAGAGTTAAAATAATAAGCAATTTATTATCATATCAAAACATGTAGCCCCGAAAGGCAGAATAGGTCTTGACAAAATCTCCTTGCCTGGTGTTCCAAATCTTCTTACCCCAGGTTCTGCTCCGCAACATTCCCTCAGCAGTGCAGGCTACTGGTTTTGTCTACCTCCCATCCACTGTCACCCCTGACTCCTGGTACCCATCTCTAGGTCCCAGTCCAAACCTCTGTTCCTGACCCAGAAGTTTCTGATTGACAGTATGAACCTCTTCCCAATTTCTTTTTAAGAAGTGGCATCCTCACTGCCGTGATCTGTCTCGTATCTCCTTTATGCTCTCAAGCCACACGCCCTTCTCTCCTGTGCAATTTTTCAGCTTGAGACAGAGGGCCATTGAGAGCATGGGACAGACCCACTTTTCAATGTAGCCAAATTTCCGTGATCTTTATAGATGTTGCAAAATATATCCCATGTAAGCACTTTAGATCACCAGTAAACTTTACCTTAAGGTCACTCACAGAAATACATATTGCATTTTCCAAAAATCACCTAAAGAGAATCAGCTTTAGGCAGACTAGGTATTTTCAGCTAGAAGAGGTAATATGTGGCACAGAATGAATCAAGAGTTATGGTTGGAAAGGATCTTTTAAGATTTAGTTAAAATCAAATGAAAACAAATTTATGATGGGGAGTGCATGAAGATTTGAAATGTAAAATGTAGCAGTTCTGCCTGGAGTTCTACTGTCTTCTGTTCTTTTCCCATTCTTAAATGACCTGCTACAGCAGAATGCTTGAGCACCTGCTAGTAAGAGCTATGATTAACACGTGTCACGTATCGCTCCTTCTTAGATGTCAAGCTGAAAATGAATTCCTGCAGAAGCTGAGAACCATCCCAGATCTCACAGTCTCCCAATCTAAGAGCACAAAATTATTTTTCTTTTATTTACTCCCTGCAGCACAGGTTGTTTTTTTTTCAGTTGAGGGTGTTTTTTTTTTATCTCCACCAAAACAAAATATAAAAGATCTCCCCTAGGAAAGAAGAAAGCAGAAGCTGATCAAAGGACAAGAGAAGTTACATGGGACACATGCACATTACATTTCTTAACTCATCTTTAAGCTTTTGTCTTGCTTCTGTTAAGTGATACCACTACCCAGACTGTGAAGTCTTCCTCTCATTTAAAATTAGTCTAGCCCCACGTGAACATCCAGTAACTGAAACAGGCTGAAACAAAAGCCTGTGCTGATCACGTATGACATTACAAGATATCTTTAGTCCAATATAATCACTGGAAACGTGTGATAATTAAAGGACTTCTTTTAGTTAGGTAATTAAACTCAAATAATTAAGACAAGGATTTTTCTTGTTCCAATCTATTGAAGACTAATGAGTGTGCTCTTTGAACAGCAACCACACTTCCCAAGTTCTATGCATCTCGCGTGCTGCCTGTATGTTATACCAGATACAACACAGGGCCATCAATGACAATGCCTTATTACTCCTCTACCAACAGCAAAATTTTCTATTTCACAACTTTGATTGTCCTCTTTATTCCTGAAAACAGTTCACCACTGAAACCTGCACTATGGTTTCAGTACCCCAGGCATGCCATGGCTGGGGGCATGGACAGTAATTCAGCCATGGCTGGTCAGTCAGTAGCACAGGTAATTCACCCTGAGCAGCTGTCCCCTGCTCCCACCACCTTGCTGCTCAGCTGCCTCCCACTGTTAGGCCTGGAGCTTCCTGCAGCCATGACTGGCTTTTTCTTACACCACAGACACCTGACATGGTTTGGCTGGAGTCTCTATGCACCATCTTAACCCAAAGAGATAATTAATATTTCACAAAAAAAAAAAAAAAAAAAAAAAAAAAGATGTCCAGCTATGCAGGCATGGCTTTTAATGTACTGTGTACATGCATGCCAGGCACACAACTACTCCATTACTGCTTGAAAATAATTCCTTAGGCCAAAAACCTCACATCAACAAGGATCTCTTGCTTTCAGTTACTTGCCAAAATCTGAAAATGACATGGGAAAATACTGGTATTCCACTTAAAGCCTATGTAAAAATGTCTCTACACAAAAGAGCACTTAAAAAAGGAGATTTAAATTCTGATACTCTCTATTAAACATAGCCCAGCCAAGGATTCAATTCTAATGCCTTTTCACCACCATAATCCCTTGGGACTCATCCCTCTTTTTCACTGCAGCACACTCAGCTTGCTCAGAAAACAAGTCTCACCTTCCAAGGCAGGTAGCAGCTCTGCTACCGAACCACAGCAGTGATGCCTCTCAAGTTTACCTTAACATGAAAATCAACACAGGATGCAATTTTATATACAAGAATTTCCTATACAAACTGTTACCTAGACTTCCTATCAGAGTGCAGGACCAACTGGCCAAGCTTCAAAAACTACCTGCAAAACACTGGTCTAGTCAGCTATTTGAAGAGACCATGAGCCATCACTCACCTCCTCACTCATTCCTTTGCCTTGCTTTTGACTTACTTTCAACTCCTGCCCTGCATGCTCACATATAATCTTAGTTTAACAATAATAAGTCACTAATAGTCAAGAATGTGTGTAAATATTTATTAACCCTGCAGACTACAATGGGCTCTTTCAAGGTTATTGCAGTTCACTATAGGAATAAATGTAGTTTTTTTAATTTTCTAAGCACATATCTATTCAATGCAGAAAAGGCTCTTTGGTACCCATGGAGTAGGTAAAGAGCAATTTTAAAGACTTGTTTACACTACAGCTATTGTTCAGGCCTCATTTTAAGGCTGCCTTGAAAAAGCTGATTAAGGCAGGAATTAAATCTCTTTGAACAAAAACCAGCATGTCTAATCATTACATTTATCCCTTGTTTTCAATAAGCATTGCTCTTTTTCAAATTTATCTGCTTAGGACACAGAAGGTGTTTAAAAATAGTTTTTCTTAAAATTTTAGGGATTTTTAAAGGGTTTTGAATTTCAGAGAGATTTTGTCACAGAGTCCATTTTTTTCAGTGAGTTTCAAGAAACTAAAGACCTTATGCATGGGAAGACAGACTTTGATGAGTTATTTTTTAAAAAGAACAAGGTTACTGGTGTCACATACACATATTTGACCAACGTAACTGATGGATACAGCTCCAATCAAAGCTTTGGCACTTGCTACCTAATTTCAGAAGTATTTAATTTCCCAATCTGATGCTGAAAAGCAAACCCCACCAGTTATTCACCTGAATTCTCCCCAGATCATATAACAGATCAGAAAACCTTTAATGTAGGAATTTGAAAAGTAGGTGTTAAAGTAGTGGTACAAGCTGATGGAGAGACTGGGAAGACAGTAACCCTAGTTTGGGCCTCTAACTAGTTGCTATCCCCAAACCTAAGCTTCAGGGACTGTTTTCTCAACTTTGTAGCCTGCTGAGCTGTGTGACTTGAGATTTGACATCCCAGAAACCCCAATCCCTTAAAAAGCAGAAAAAGGAAGAAAATCACAGAAGATACAAGAATGTACAAAGCTACCATGAATAAGGAAATTCCCACAAATAAAAAGCATAGCTTATAATTTGGTTTATGTTTTTGAAGAAACAGAAGCATTAAAAGAAACCAAGCACAGTTGTTTAGTAAAGATTCTTACTGGGTGTATTTAAGTCACAACACAAGCCTGCTCTGCCCAGTCGTGTCACTCCTGCCATCATTACTCATTGACCCTAATAGATCATGGGTTAAATAATATGCACAGTAATTCCCATACTTGAGCAATATTCTACTGCTAATGAGAAATCCTCTACATCACCATCAGCAGAGCCACTTCTTATACTCCAAAATACAACACTTCCCTGTGACCAAGTGAGCACAGAACAGGAAAGAAATGAAGTATGTATCACTGTCTCCATGCCAATCCTACAGGCAGCTTCCACAGTGTCTTACCTAAAAGCCATGTGTGCTACTCATTCAGCAGTAGAAATGCATCTTGAATGGGAAAAAACAGAGGAACAGAAGGAGACAGGGGAAGTATTTATGGCGGAGAAAAATGAGATTTTCAAAGGCCAGATAAAATTGAGAGGTCAAACAGTGACACAGCCCAACTTAGGACTGAATTTGAAACAGGGCCAAAAGGAGCAAGAGGAGAAGTTGCATGCTCACTAGCCATCACCAGCTGAATAACTATGGGCTGCCTGCAAACTTACACAAGTTTTAGGTAGAAGAGCAAAAGGTGGAAGACCACAGGAGAAAGAAAAGTGAAGAAAACAATGCAGAATTTGCATAAAGGATTCAAGGAATAAAGAGGGGACAAGGTGCTTTTTCTGATGCATTAGTGCTACTTTAGCACACATTAAAAGAAAATTAAAATCTCAACATTCTTAAATGTTAAACCTTCCTTTTCCATATGAAAAGAAACAAAGAAAGGAATTCTGCAGCACAGAAAAGCAAACTTATTATAAACATCTACAAGCACATTGCTAGAATGTTACACAATTGTGCCATTTAGTAAGCCTAAATTCAATTATTCACCAAAAAAAAATAATAAATTACACAGGTTATCGGAGCAAATGCTGCAGGACTTCTATGATGCAATTCATTGCCGATGATGTAATTAATTTCCTACTCTTTCAAAATGAAATGTAAGCCAAATGAAATTATGTGCTTGCTTTCATTTAAAAAATTACATATAAAACTCAAATTTTAAGTCATGGTCAAAACATTACATCATTCTGCCTTTTTTGCCTTAACTGGGTGTTAACCTGTAGATTTCTAATCACCAAAGTAAGTATGTCTGGTGAGATGATGTAAGTAACATCTAATAGAAAGAACCAATTCAGTATCTCTATGATCATGCTAACATAGCAAATAAACAAAAATCAAATAAATGTTCTCATTTCATTAATTCTTCAATTCAATCACTAATTAATACGGTGAGGTGGAGGAAAACAAGTGATGCTGACCTTACCACTGTGCTTTAATGGTCCTTTAAATCTCTTGTTTCCATAATTCAAAGAATATAGATTTCCTACTTTAAAGATTTTTATTTAGCTAGGTAACAGAAAAGACACTCCATTCCCTGCAACTCTGCTGTACAGTAGGTACCCAGAAGCAATTTATGGAAGAGTGTCACTTTTTTTACTCTAGGTATCTTGATCTGCAGCTTTAGTGGAAGTTTCACTTTTGCACTGGTAATTCTCTCTCTTACAAGGATGAGATACTGCTTGAAGTAGTTTATGTATGCATAGTACACATAATACAGGTTGAGAAACTATGCTCTCTAAAGTACAGTATGCTCAATCAATGAAATAAAGTGTGTCTCACTTCAATCAAAGCTTTCTGTTAACAAATTGTAATTGAAACTGCTTGTAAAGAACTTGAGGGTATTAAGTCTATAGTCTACCATGATCCTCTATACAAGGAAAAAGAAAAAAACAATTTTTTTTTAAAACAAATTGTGTGCATATATATATTCATCAAACAAGTGAAAAGTGCATCACCTATGGTTAGACAAAAACTAAAGTGCTTGTCACGTATTACATATGCACTGGAAAAAAGCCATATAAAAAGGAGCTACACCAGTGTTTTTCTCAATACTTTATCACTCTAAATTTCAAAACAAAAAATAAAACTGAGAAAGTAGACGACAACTGTTGTCTTTTTAAAAATGTGGTAATGTATGTCTACACTACAGAAAATGCCTGAACTGAGTAGCAGCTGACAGACACACAGCATAGGCAGTAAGTTGCTCACACAAACAGCTTGCCAGTAAACAGCCGCCTGCTTTCTTAAATGTGCTTCCAGTATTTGTCCTTTTCCCCACAATAGCTCTGCTCCTCCTTCTTGTCCATGCTTCTTTTACACTCAGGAGGGTCTCATTGCCTTTGGCACACAGTCCCCTCAAACTCAGTTCCCAGCTAGACAAGAAGCTGTGGGTACAGTGGCTGATATTAAAGACATGACAGTACTGCCTGAGCAGTCAGCAGGCCAGACTGAACGCTTCAGTTTTGTTCCCCTCGTCAGTCTATCTCAGCTTCCAAGAACCTTCCCTTCCTCTGACTGCCAATGTTTATGAAATTTGTAGAAAATTTGCACCCTTGAGAGCACTGCTTTACAGTGGAGTATGAGGCCAAGGGTCAAAAAAAAAAATGTCTGGGAGGTGGGCACAGAAGGATATTAGCAGACAAATAACAAATATCACATAATATTTTCTTTTTTATTTTTTTTTATTTCCCCCTTTCAGATACTCAGCTAAAATACAGAACTAGCTATGCTATAAATTCATTTATTCCCACAGTTTATGGATTAAACTTTTCCATCTTGTACAAGCAACTAAGTGCATTCTGAATGGTCCAAAATAAACAATTAATGCAAGACAAGTTATTTGAAAATCATTATTTGCTGCCACTTATTATGTTCTTGCCACTGGATGGCAGCAACAGAACCTCACCTTTTTCTCTTATCCTCCAATTTTATTTCCATTATTCATCTTCATTACCAATTTTAGACAGAATTCTCTATATATCTTAAGCACGTTGAAGACTTTAATGCTTTAAAGCCATTACTTACAAGCATACTAGTTAAGTCATTAATATCGCTTAAAGGACAGTGAGCTTAACCAGTTCAAAACCCGAACAGCTTAATTATATTCAACTCTAAAAGACTAAATGAACCTAGTTTACTTCAGGAAACTTGTGCTTATGAAGATTTTTTTTTTTGCCAGTGTGCATCCTTTTTTTTGCCACAGGCAAAGCCTCTGTTCTTTCACATACACACACTATCTTTTACTCCAGATAGAAGATTCTTGCATTTGATACATCTCATCTTCGAGTCTCCATCTACAAATGATGCCAATGTTCTGAAACCAGTTCAGACCACACACTACCTGGGTGTAGCTTTCATTAATTATGCAAATCAAGCTTCTAATTCAATCCTTGCTGATTTGCACAATGTGTTTTCCAAACTGAGTTAACACAATTCATTAATTACTATTAACCATTTTGGCAAGCCTAAATAAATATTTTATTTAATATAATGTCTTATATGAACAATTAAATGACTGGTGGCATCACATGGAAGCCACATTAAAATGGATAGCAGAAATGTAAGGGCTAATTAATTATAAATAATGGTCCTAGTTCTTCTCTGAGAAAAATCAATTGCATATTCAGTTACTTCCATGCAATTAAAGTCTTAATTTCTTTAAACTCAAACAACACATTTTCAGTACTGCTCAGTGAGTTTTTATATCCTGGTGCACTGTAGCAGTTTTTATGATGCTTGCTGTTTGAAGGAAACTATGTTATATCCTTATATTAAAACAGATGGTGTTTACAATTACAATGGACAAAACTGGGAGCCTGAACACAGCTCTATCTTGAAAGAAATATCCCTAACATTCTGTGAAGATTGCATTTTCCTGTGATAATTCTCTACTAGTGATTTCATACTTACATGAACACAAAGGACATCACCTCATCTGCAGGTGCAAATTTAGGGAGTACAGTATGTTTACCTTTTTTTTACATCTTTCTTTGCAATTAGGCCAAATACCATTTTCTGTGAAATATTTTTTAAATAAACAATAACTGTATCACATACCTTTCAATGTCAAAAGGAAAGCAAAACTTTGGAACACTGTTCAGTACATCCTGTAAATAAAGTAATAGAAATTCAGTTAGGATTTTGAAAATATTTTTATCTGTATTTGTTAGCAACTACCCTACAGCTTGCTTTAAAAAAAAATAAAAAATTGAAAAATACTCACAACAAATAATAAATTCAAGGAATATGTGATTGCCAAAAATACAGCACACGTTCCTGGACTGAAATAATTGATTATTAAAACGGAATTAAGTTTGTGCTTTGGCAGATTGCAAAGACAATGCCATAGACGCCCCAGGAGGGAAAGGCCTGGCCTGAAGGGTATTAACACCCTTCACATCCCCGCTGGGATTCCCTTCAACAAGGCCATATGGATTTTACAAGAAGCACCACACCATATGGGTAAGCCACGTCTGCTGCTACTTGTACCACAGACTAGCCACAGGGACTTCTGACAGATCCTGGCTTAAAAAAACAAATGTTGTTTCAATTAAAATGCAGGCAGAGAAAAGGGAATGAAGTTGGCAGCAGAATGAATTACAGAGAGGTATAACAACTCTATACATGTTCCATAGTCAAAAGCTGAAAATGATGGAATTGTCTGCTGGTCCAAAGGAGAAATTTATGATTACCCCTTTGGGTTTCACAGGCAAGCTTCACTATTAATAAAGGCAAGGGGGGGGCGGAATCCACCGGATCTACATTTGTACCATAATATGAAAGGATAATGTCACTCTTTCTTGCAGAATTTTATTTAAGAAGCTGTTTAGTGGCAAATAAAATGTGTTAATTAAAATATAAAAATGCTCGCAAGCTAGTCAACGTATCTCTTAAAAAATGTTAATTACTAGATCAGTTAGCAGCAAATATTGAACAATGACCTTACAAGATCCCAGAAAAACAAGTTTTATTTCCTTGCTTCCAATTGAGAAAACAAACCCTCTGTGAAATGTTTCAGCTAAGAAGATACAGTCAATGTCAATGCAATTAGTCAGCAAAGCTATGGAATTATTTTTCTGTAGCAGACCAACAGAGATAGCTATACTGCTGTATGCACAAGTTATCCCACAAGGTGTGTGTTTGCAGAAAAATGCAATTTGATTGCAAATTTCCAGAGCTGTAGATAGGGGTTTAAGAACTTGATCTATGATGTTAACACTTTCCAGCCTGCACTCTCTGTTCGCTGCAAGTTGAACAGCCAAGTCCCATTAGGGGAAATTACGTATTTAAATTCCTACACACCACAATGACTATTTACTTGAAACATTTGCCTGGCTCAGTGAATAGCATAAAACAGAGAATCCGTGCAAGTCAATCAGCAAGGGACAGATAGTTCAGGAAAAAGATGCCCCTGAATACAATATGCATATGTTAGTTGCAATGTTTTAAAGGTATATGATGTGTCCCAGAGAATCATCATACAGTGCAAAATGGAAAAAGAAATTTTTCTCGAAATTCTATGTCATGCAAGAGAGTTGAAGAAATCTTTGGAACTTTTACTTTGTCAGCACAGACAAAGGAGGGTATGAAAGCCACATATTGTGTTTTGTGAAGGGTGATTAATTTAATTATGAACAATCACAGTACATGTAATATTCTCCAAAAGAAACTGCACAAGCACCATTCTGAGTGCTGTGAGTGGCAAGTACAAGCATGAGGAGCAAACATACAAACAGAGCAGATAAATATTTTAATTTCTTTAGGCAATTGATGCTGGTAGTAATAATAAACTCTAACAAAAAAAAAAAAAGCAAGCAGGGTAGGCTAATAAAAACCTTTACCTCAGAAATTGTCTAGACGTTTCCAAATGTCTCTTACTTTAGGCCTATAAAGCTTGCATTTCTAGCTCCAAAGAAACAGGATTTTATACTCTATTTAAATTGTCTTTCTAAATCTGCACCTACTCTCACACTATAGAAAGTCATTCTCTCCTTACTACTAAGGATTTTAATTGCTGGCTGGTGAGCTGAGTGCAGACGCAGAACTGGGTATGGAAATTAATTCATTTATGTTCCCCATTGTATTCTCTCAGAATAAATTATCACACAAGAAAAAGAAAACAAAAACAAAAAAACCAAAAGTATTAGCTCAATATTTTGACTAAACAACCTGAAAATTATGGGTATGTTTTGCAGCGTTTCCAGGCTGAGCTGCAGGCCAGCATTTCCCCAGCTCTGCCCTGTCCCCCGCAGCCAGCACACGTGCACACAACTTCTGCAGAGCAGCCTCAGCTCGCTTCCCAACTGGCAGGAGCATCCCTCAGGGGACAAGTCTTTAAACCTCCGCACTCTTTAAAATTCAACCAGCCAGCAGGTCTATAGACTGGTGTATAAACAGTATAGACAAAAAAAAAAAAATCCTCTCTCAGCTTATGTCAGTGACAAAGCAGCTCAGCAGTTGACTGCTGCTCCCCTGACAGCATAAGCCGGGTTTACACAGATCAATAGATGGAAGTCCTACCTAGCTTCCAGGGCTCAGTTTTCTCCCTTAATTACAGGTGCTATTCAGATTTTTAAAACAGAAAAAAAACAAGATTCTCCCAAGATGCTCCTAGACAAATTTAAAATGCAAATGATATTATTCACACACAGAGTCACTATTCCTGTACAATTCCAGTTGATGCTTTCAGCAACCTTTCTGCTGAGTAACACTGAGGCCTGTCTCCTAAAGGGTCATCATTTTCAAGCCTCTGTAATTCAGCCAAGACTTCCTCCTGAATCAACAAACACAGTCTCAGAAAAATACTAACGTATTTATTGTCTTTTCATAGCTTCATAAAAGTCTGTGCTTATTTCTGAAGGCAAAAAGTTGCACAGGTCTTCAGAAAGCAAAGCATCCTTCATTCACTTGTCCCGTGATTATTTCCCCCTCTGGTTCTCACAGTGCCTTCAGAAATGGTCACTGTGTCATAAAGGAAAGAAACTGTATACAGACGAAAAGGGATAATGATGTTGTAAAAGACACAAGTAAAAGATTCTGTGTTTTCAAACAGCAAATAAAAATCTATAGTTGCATACACAATTAAGGTTAATTGCTAAGTTAAAGAATAACTATCTCATTGCATGCAGAAGTTTCAAAAGAAGGAAGAAAACGATAAAATTAGTATAATGTGAACTACAATATGCCACTTCCCTTGTAAAAAGCTTACACAAAATGGGAACACTATTAAGAAAACAGTTCCTTTATGCCTACAGCATAGCAGCAGAAGCTTGCGCACTCACAGGCTCATGGTCCAGTGGTTTTATTAATTCACTTTCATCAATTGCACTACACAACTCCAGCCTGACCCAGCTGGAATCATCATGCCTTGCTTATTTTGATATCCATACAGGTAATTCTGTCTATCATTTTATAAAGCCATGTAAAGGTGCTTCTGAATTTGCACACATCAGTTTTCTGGAGAAAAGCTCCTGATAACACACAGTCTAGCCCTGAAGTGAAATTACTAGTTAGTCCTTTTGGTTACATTCAAGATACACACCGTATTCCTTACAAATTAGAACATATAGGATTTGTTTAATATCATCACCATCATTTGATAAAAGCATATGAAACTTCCATGGCTGCTCAGTATACATTGTAGAACACAGTGACTTGGGAGGATGCTAATTTCTTTATCACTTAGACAAGAGACACTACAGCTCACTACAGGTCGAAGAAGGTACAGCAAGGAGGCTTTTACAAAAAATTTAACTGCCCTTCGAAACTCTTACTTTCTTCCTGACACAATTTCCTCTCCTCACTAACCTCTCTAGATGTCTTCTGTTGAAACACCTGACTGCAGGTCTCTCTTTTGGTTCT